AAGTCTGTTTGCCTAAGCAAAATTACTTGTAGTCACAAGCTGAGCCTGGGATATTTGTCAAACGGAGATAATGGCGGGAGAAGCCCCCAAGTTGACGAAGGAATACGACAGACGATCGAAGGTGTTGCTTTGCCACTAGTTTTCATAAATTACCCATCACTTACAGTCCATTTATATGCATCAGGGATCTATCTGCGATAAACCCTCAATTTATCTTTCCGAGGAACTAATTTAAGAGTTTATAAAGTATACTTGCAACGCGGGTGCTTTCTTTTATTTATATACTGGTGTTGTTAAGAATTAAAATACCTTACGACAAACCTAAAATTTTTATCAATTCCAATAAAAAAGGATTTTTAAACCGAATGCGCCTTCGTTAACCTCGAGTAGTTAATACTTTGGAGCCTTTGCCCTTTGAAAACCCCCATTTGAATGGCTTCCCACACCCAAACACCACTCCCTGACCAAAAAAAAAAAAAAAAAAAAATATAAACAGAGCCCAAGTTATGAGATGGCCACTGCCAAACCGCTGACCCCAGAGAGTGACCCCGGTGAAAAGTCTAATTTTTAGCTGGTCTTTGTTTCGGTTTGGGAAAAATCAGCATAGGAAATCGGCACAGCGGAAAGCACTTCACGAATTGCAACGCTAATTACATGAAAATGGAAACCGAACCATAGACATTTTTCCCCTGTTCTGTTTTTTCTGTTTTTCTGTGTTTTTGTTTTTCTTTCTTTTTCATTTTGGTGTACGAGTGTCTCCGGCCAGTCGTTTCGGCAGTTCTATGTGGATGCCCCCGTGCTCCTTGGCAGCGGTGTAACAATGGTCACGACTGCGACTCTGAGCAGTAGCAAGCTATTAAAAAGTTGCAAAAAATACTCGCAGCGACAGCATCATGACTGCACGCTCCGAAAAATTCGACATACGATATGGGAGACTCTCGACGCCACCACCACCTCCGACCAATTCTTTTTTCCAGCTCCTCATAGCAGGCACGCCCACACGGAGAGAAATATCTATTAGATCTATTAGTGGGTTTTTATATCAGAAACAAGCATAAGTTTCTGATAGAGAATCATACTTACACAAATCTATTTCAAATTGTTTGAACAAACTGTGTAAACAGGATTATGATTAAGGTTTTAAAGATATATGTACAACAATAAGATTGTATTTTTTTTTTGTTATTACGAGGTTCACGGTTTTGCTTATGAATACTTACCTTATAAATATTAATATGTTCAGAGCTGCATTTAAGCAATTTTACAGATAAACTAATTATCAAAATAAATTTCTCCCTGTGCGAGATAGAAAAAGCAGCCAGTTATGAACATGCCGGATAATACGGGCACAAAAAGGTTAAAAAAGTTCAAGAGCCGACCCGCGTTGGGCGCATGCAAGTGACATTTGCTCGTGACATGAGGTAGACGACAGCGAATCCACTTCAAGACGCGGCCCTCGACAATGGCCCATGCCATCCATGGGATCTTGGCTGCCAACTCCAACTCCAACTTCAGCTCCAACTCCCATCCCCTTGCACCTTATGAAAATGCAATAGAGCGGCAACTTTCACATGAACCTGTGAACTCCGGAGCGGAGCCCAAGTGACGACTCTTCTTGGCCGGGACATCTTTCGGCCTCGGTGAAAAGGGTCAATGGAAGCGTGTCTGAGGCTGAAAAGCCCTCCCCTCCTTCTATCCGCCTAAAGGGAAATTGCTACGAAGGCAGGACGCGTTGCATTTGATTAAGTCATGGGCGCTATTTTTAAAATGCTGCCGAGGAATTTGTCGTTGCCGCAGAAACCCAGCAGCAGCAACGTGCAACATGTTGCACGTTGCAGAGGAAGTCGGCGGGGAGCATTGGGTAGCCAAGTCTTCAGGGCCCAAGTGAGGTTGCACTGGGGGAAAATAGAAAACTTCTAGGCTGAAACAATTTAGAACATCTTGGAAAATTCATTGTTTTAAGAACTCTGCAGTTTGGATAATAACTCAAGTCGATCTATTCACAACTAGACATATAGGTATTTATTGCAACATTTTTTTAATTCTATTCTATCTATTTTATAATTAGCTGAACGAATTTTTCCAAGTGCATGTGTATAGCCGCATGTCTGACACAATTTATACGCCACCCAGTTGAGCCATTTGCCGGGTCTGCCTTCAACTACAGTTCGTTTCATTTGGATAGGACACCTAGCAACTTTTATGGTTAATCGCTCGTAGCGAAGACAAAAATCGTTGAAAGCTAAAATTTTTTTTAAGTTATAATCTCTGTTCTATTGTGATTCTAAAATGCAGTTACATTTTTTCATTATTGCTTTCCACACTTTTTATTTGAGCTTTTGCACTGCTGCATGGTTTTTGCATGCTGAAAATCGTTTCATTTGGATAGGACACTTGTCAGAAATCACTTTTGTACAGTGCGCAGTTTGTTTAAAACGTTTTTTTCAATCTGATGCTATTATTGATCAAATGGAACTAAAATAGGCCTTGAATCGGCACTCCAGGATAAAGATGGGAAAATTATGGGGGAAAATTGATGCATATTTGGACTCAGGCCTTAATGTGACCCAAATCGCCACGAAAATAAAAAAATCGCGAAATGTTGTACACAATTTATTAACAGATAATGAAAACTATAAAAAAAATTATAAAGGGCTCCAAAAAACAAAGTTAAACGTTCGAGATAAGCGGCTTCTAGTGAAAAGGCCTCCAATTTCCCATGTCCTGCCCCGTTTTGGCTCATTATGAGGCCAACAAGGCGTCTAAAACCCCATTTGGCGGACTTTACACACTTGCTAACACTTGGGGCCATCAAAAATGGCAAGTTCTCCAAGAATCACAGAGATCCATCGTCAGGCGCGGGACAATTTTGGAAAATACAACTTTAAAACGAATTGGCGCTCAGTAAGCTATTCTTAAAGGCTCCTGCTAAGCTCTATTTTAATATTTTTTAATGTTTGGATTATATTTAAATGGCCCGGATGGGCTCAAATTAAGTTTTTTTCATCGAAAAATATAATCCAAACATTAAAAAATATTAAAATAGAGCTTAGCAGGAGCCTTTAAGAATAGCTTACTGAGCGCCAATTCGTTTTAAAGTTGTATTTTCCAAAATTGTCCCGCGCCTGACGATGGATCTCTGTGATTCTTGGAGAACTTGCCATTTTTGATGGCCCCAAGTGTTAGCAAGTGTGTAAAGTCCGCCAAATGGGGTTTTAGACGCCTTGTTGGCCTCATAATGAGCCAAAACGGGGCAGGACATGGGGAAATTGGAGGCCTTTTTCACTAGAAGCCGCTTATCTCGAACGTTTAACTTTGTTTTTTGGAGCCCTTTATAATTTTTTTATAGTTTTCATTATCTGTTAATAAATTGTGTACAACATTTCGCGATTTTTTTTATTTTCGTGGCGATTTGGGTCACATTAAGGCCTGAGTCCAAATATGCATCAATTTTCCCCATAATTTTCCCATCTTTATCCTGGAGTGCCGATTCAAGGCCTATTTTAGTTCCATTTGATCAATAATAGCATCAGATTGAAAAAAACGTTTTAAACAAACTGCGCACTGTACAAAGTGATTTCTGACAAGTGTCCTATCCAAATGAAACGATTTTCAGCATGCAAAAACCATGCAGCAGTGCAAAAGCTCAAAAAAAAGTGTGGAAAGCAATAATGAAAAATGTAACTGCATTTTAGAATCACAATAGAACAGAGATTATAACTTAAAAAAATTTTAGCTTTCAACGATTTTTGTCTTCGCTACGAGCGATTAACGATAAAAGTTGCTAGGTGTCCTATCCAAATGAAACGAACTGTATATCTACTTCTTCGTCTAGGGCGATGTCTGGGCTCCAGTCTACCTACAAGCTCGCTGATTTTTATTGTTATTGCCAGTTGTCAAAGGAAGTGCGCGCCACGTTCCACGGGTGTTCCAGCGATTTTCGTAAATTATTTCCTGGGCCACAGTTTGCTTGCCAAAGGCTGTCGGTTGTTCGTCTCGTACCAGTTTTATTTGGGGGAAAGTTGAATGCACTCTGCACTCTGGCCTCAAAGTGGCAGCAGGAAAATTGGGCAACCACTGTGCCCGTCATTGTCGATCAATGTGGCTTACTTAGACTTCGATTTGTGTGGTCCACGGACAATCTTGTTAGGACGAACAGTAAGCCAGTACAAAACAGAAACTACCTGCCTGCCTGCATCATTATCATTAGCATAAGACGTCATAACAAAGCAAATGAGTTGGCAATCGCGGCCAGACATCTCTGGACAAAAAAGGGAAACAGAAAAATAAATAAAAACACTACCGAAGATGCTTCATTAACTCGATTCTCGAATCTGGAATCTCGAATCGACCTGGGTCAAACCGCAATCTCAGCCAGACAGGCAATCGAAGTAAAGGGAACAAATCTCAGACATGGCTCATTTTGTTTGTCTTTGGCTCTTGTTTTGCCAACCTCGGATCGCTGTTTCTCCCTAAATCCAGTTCGTGCTGTTGTTCTACATAGATTTCGAAGAGGCTTCAGGAGATACAGATGCAGATACAGATACAGATACAGATACGGATACAAGCGATGATAAACTCGAAAATAGTTTCCAAGGAATCCCCTAAACTCGAGCGTTCGCTTGTGCTGTGTTTATTTATATAAAATGTTGCCGGCGACTGTCTGCGGATCGGGTTGAACAAACAAGCCTCTGGAAAAACTCATTGCTCTGAGTGCATTTGGAAAGATTTACATGCAAAGTAGTGGATGAGTTTGTTTTATCAACTAGCAGGGAGCGAAGGGAATGTTCTTCTCTGGGGGGATATGCAAAGTGCATGTGTTTTGTGTGGAATCGAATAAATAATACAAAGAAATTGTCGATGAAATAGAAGGTGGTTGAAACATTTGTATTGTTATTTGTTATATGATATTTTAGCTTGGAAAAAATGAACTATATGACTACTATACTTTCTTGTTTGTAAGATATTTATTTATAAAATTCCTCTATCTTTTATTTCAGGTGTTTCTGCTGAAGTTTACTACGTTCGCGAAGGTCACATAAATAATTATGCCTTGAATTTTATTGTTCCGGTTCCGGCGAATGTGAAGGACATTAGCTTCACCTGGCAATCGCTGGCCGGGCGTGGCCTTCCCTACAGCATCAACGTGGTCAGCTCCAACCAGGAAGTGCTGCCCCGACCGGCAATCAATGTGTCACACAGCGGAGAGATCCCCACCAGCATTCAGACGTGGTCCATTGCCCTCAAGTGCAGTGGCCTGAAGGCGGCGGAGGTGGATGTGACTGTCAGCCTGGAAGTGGTGCTAAATCGATCGCTCAACAATGTGACTCACCTGGTGTTTCGGCGGAAGAAGATCTGCCTTGAGAGCGATAGTGTCGAGGATCTGAGGGAGGATGTGGATGATCCCCAGCTGCTGGAGACCGTGATGCTGCCCCCCACCGGATTAATCACCTTGGTTGTGGGTGTTTCCGTGGCCATGGGTTCAGTTTGTCTGCTTTTGATGATTGCTTACTGCGTGAAGGGAGCAGCCAACAAAAGACAGCATCATCAGCATGGAGGACAGCCCATGAGGACATCGAGTTTCCAGAGACTAAACACCCATCCGCCTTGCCAATCCTCCATGGGATCTGCGGCTTACATGACTCCTTCGATTATTGCTCCGATTCATGGCTCCTCGTTGCCTCGCAAAGTTCCCGTTTCCGTGGAGCAACAGCATCCGGAGGAACTGCATCGCCGTATTTCCGAACTGACTGTAGAACGCTGCCGAGTGCGACTTTCGAGTCTTCTGCAGGAGGGAACCTTTGGCAGGGTTTACCGCGGCACCTACAACGACAACCAGGATGTTCTGGTTAAAACAGTGGCCCAACATGCCAGTCAAATGCAGGTGCTTCTGCTTCTCCAGGAGGGAATGCTTCTCTACGGTGCCTCTCATCCCGGAATTCTCTCGGTTCTTGGCGTTTCCATCGAAGATCACACCACGCCCTTTGTTTTATATCCCGCTCTGAATAATACTCGCAATCTGAAGCTATTTCTGCTGGATCCAGCTTGTGCTCGCACAGTGACCACCATTCAAATTGTGATGATGGCCTCGCAGCTTTCCATGGCTTTGGATCATCTGCATAGTCATGGTGTGGTGCACAAGGATATTGCCACGAGGAATTGTGTGTAAGTAGAAAAGAATACTATAAATACAATATTTAATATAAAGCTGATAATATAGTTAGTTGAATGATTCGATTTAATGTTCAAATGTCTCATAAGTTATCAACCTATTTTCCTTTCTAGGATTGACGATCAGTTAAGGGTGAAACTCTCAGATAGTTCCCTTTCGCGGGACCTCTTCCCCTCGGACTACAACTGCCTGGGGGACAGCGAGAACAGGCCTGTGAAGTGGATGTCCTTGGAGGCACTGCAGCACAAGCAGTTCTCCGAGGCCAGCGATTCGTGGGCCTTCGGTGTTCTCATGTGGGAGCTGTGTACTTCGGCCAAGCAACCCTATGCCGAGGTGGACCCCTTCGAGATGGAACACTATCTCAAGGATGGCTATCGGCTGGCCCAACCCTTCAACTGCCCCGACGAACTGTGAGTATTCGAATCGATTGAGATCTTAACCGGCTGCTTTACTAATTCAATTGTTTCTTTTTATCTGCTCATTAAAGGTTTACGATTATGGCCTATTGTTGGGCTCTTTTACCTGGCGAACGGCCGACCTTTGCCCAGCTGCAGTCCTGTCTCTCGGAATTCTATTCACAAATCACGCGCTATGTCTAGGACATCGGGATCATCAAGGTCGTCCAAAAAAAAGGGGGAATCAGCTCTTTTGAAGAACCCCGGAGATTCAACCCTAGTTAAATAAAGTCCTGTAGCTACTCTCCTTTGTTATAACGAGATTTGCCAAATCGAATGTATAGCTTAGACTTCGCACCACATCTGTACATATAGTTACCATATTGAACTCCTTAAGTACTTATCTTTAAGCTTACTCTACGATTTACTTGACTCTTACCACCTAGATGAAATAGTTCAGTTTGCACAGCTCTCCTTTAAAGCCCATCAAAACTATTATAGATAAAACGCCGAAAGCCGAAATCAAATATAGTGATATTTATCATTAGCGTTAGTTAAGCTCTTAAGATAACACATACATATTTATGATGCATATAATACATGTTGTATGTTTAGCATTTTTGAACATTTACCGTTTATATGAGAGATTAAAAAATGATATACAAATATATACACATATACATACATATATGCCAAAACAATTCCAGAAATTACCAATTTGTTTTTATGCGATTTTACGGTTTCGTCGTTAAGGTTTTATCACCGTTTTCTGAAGGGTTCCCCCTGTTCTTTTTTTCCAGCACAAGTCACGCCCTTACCCTCGAATTTTGAGGTCGGGGCTTAGGCTGTCCCTCCCCCTCCCCCTCCCTCTCCCTCTGCCACACTTTTCCGGTGAAAATCGCCCAGGCAAATGAAGGAAATTTACGGCCATCCTACTTGAGAGCACGAAAGGAAAAGGCCGGGTAACAAAGTTACGTTCACGCACACAAATTAGCCATAAATTTTAATTTTACATGACAATGTTTTGGGCTCAAGTGAGGTGTAGGGGATAAACTCGAAACTCGAAAAGAATTTTCCCAGAGAGATCCTGGAAGATGAATCAATTTTTCCTTTTTTTTTTTCTGCGAGGGGCTCTGCAACTTACGCTCGAGTGTCCTTGGCAGCGTAGATGAGCTCGGAAATAAATATCCTGGTGCTGGGAAAAGTGAAGACCACAAATAGCATGTGCTACACATGTCCTGCGTCCTGCGTCCTTCGGCTATTGTGTTTGTGTTCGTGGGCGGGCGTCCTTACACTTTGGAAGCCATTTCCAAGAGAGACGAGGACATATCGTAAATATTTTGACAGAATCGCCTTTTGCTTTTGCCTTGGCGTTTTGGCCATTGTGTTACCAGCATCAACTTCCTTTATCCCTGCCACCTGCTGCCCCGTACAATATCGTATACAGAATATACAGGACAACATCAACAGCCATGGCTGTTACCTCCTTGCCAGGAGGTAATCCTCGTGTTTGTGCGACTTGACCTGCTCCGTTTGCCATGGCATTTCTGGTTATAGCCGTAAGCGGCTTTAAACTTGCTGCCTGTTGCTGTTTCGAGCTGTTTGGCTTGGCTTGTCGTCATTGCTGCTAATATATATTCCCCGAACGGAACAACAGGGCGTTACGAATACGAGGGCCCCCACGAAAGACAAACAGTGTACTTAAGCGCATAGTTTGTTTATACTTATTAGTTGATAATGTGGCATGTCGAACTGTACTCAAGGGGATAGGATCGGGGAAGCAGTTGGCCAAGTTGGCTGACGACAGGTTAACCACTTAACTATTTTATTAATGTGGATTGAGGGAATGGATCAAAGCCACGCAGTAAATGCTTAAGCTAGGTAAACACTATAATTTTGTAAACAAATTAAGGCCCTTTGAAAATTGTGACCTTAAACATAAAGTTTACTTTCCATAAATAGAACTTCCTCAACTATTAGTTGATATTTATCAATAGTGGAAAATAAATACATGAGTTGGTTTCATACATACGCTCCCCAATTTATTTATTTCTTTCTAATGAATCGATTTTGTTTTAGAACTTATTACACAACTCCATTTCAAGACAGTATCTTAAACATCTTAAATGGATCATTTCCGATCTCTGTCCATGTTAAATTCTGCACTTCCTCCCATCGCATCGCATTTTCCCCCTGTAAACAAGCTACCCACCCAGACGATAAGCAAAATACTGACTTGCATTTCCGGCTTCTGTTTGGGGCGCCATCGCCAGACAAGTCCCACCAACATTGATTCCATTCAGAGAGACTCCGTTCTGTTCTGTTCGGTGCTGTGCTGTTCCCAACCAAACCAAAACTCCACCTCATCAATGCCGATGTACTTTTCGAACATTTCCCGGGAAGCTGAAAATGGGGAAACCGAAAAGCGTTGGGAGGGAGGCCACCATTTCCATTTCACATGGCCATGCGATTTCCATGTTACAACCACGTCTGACTCAAGTGGCAGCCAATCCCCTCCCCCTCCTCCTCCGATTTTCCGACTTTCCATCCATAGGATAACCCTTCCACCCGCACTCGCTATCCAACTGCGCTCCGGTGATAATTTAAAAAGTTTATATGGCCAAACTGGCGCGGATTGCCAGCGCTGCCGTTGCTTTGCACCATTCTAATGACAACTTAAATAAACATCAACAATGGGGCAATGCAAAGGAAAATTGTTGGGAGAAAATCCAGCTAAAGTCTATGGAAATATGCAGTGAAGTAAGTTGATAGCTTCGACTGAGAGGTACCCTATAAGTTAGAACTATTTTTCCCTCTTTTAAATGTATTATAAGAGATTTGATTCTGATATTGTTGATTTGTCTAATTCGATACTATTAACTCTTAGTACTTCTTCATTCTTCTTCAATAATAATTGAGTTCGTTACTAAATATTTCATCAGCCTTAAATACCCCCGAATTCCTTGAGTACCCGCTATAAAAAACGATCCGCGAGGAAAATGGAAGTTCAAGTTTCTCATCGTCTAGGGCGGCCCATTGTGTGGAAATATTTATTTTCTATAAATTATTTTCGATTATCGCTTCTGGTCCCTTCTCTCCTTGGCTGGCGAACTAAATAAATACATTGAGCTGCAATTAAAGCTAAACAAAATGCATAATTTCTGCTCATTTGTCGATAAGCTGGCATTCGGTTGGGAAAATCGAGTGCCCCTGTTGATTTTTTGGGGGAGATGGGGCACAAATTTATGTGCCTTGCTTCCGCTAATGGAATTTTAATGTTTCATTGGAAGTAGACGCATAAATTTCGATTTTGGTCAAAAAAGCAATAGAGGAGTCCGCAGGAGGAAATTCCCATTGAGTTTCTCATATTTTTACAATCCAATAGCTAACAAGTGATATGCTTGTTATGGGCAAACGAGTTGGCCCATTTAGTTCATTGGCGCCGCAATTCCACAGAATTGGACAAACAAAAAAATAAATAAAAGTCCGAAATATTTTCGAATTGCTTTTAATCGAAAGACAGCAGGTAACAGAGTTCGCAGGTGAGGATAGAAATACTGATCAAATTGTTTGGGCCATTTACATTTTGGTGCGAGTAGCATTGCCAGTGAAGTTTATATTCATTTCATTGTTTATTCGTAAATAAAAACAATAAATTCTTAGAAAATAACCTTTTAAGGTCAAATCAAATCCCTTGTTAAAATATTCAGAGTATAATAGTGTAACTCATGCCACTTTTGGTTATCTAAATATTTTCTAGCAGGAATGTTTTCAAATTCTTTTGGTAATCCTTGCTGCGAAAACACATCATTTAAACCTACCAACTCATTCCCTAGAACCATATTCGATTGCACATTTTGTTTGGATAGCAGAGTCTTTGGCCAACTATTTGGCAGATAGAAAAATGTAAGTCCTAACTGAGTTATTCACGCAAATCCTTTAATGCCATTTATCATATGAGGTGCATACACATTTCAAATTCATGTAAAGTACAATGCAGCTTGGCTCTGGCACCGAGCCTGATCCCTTGGCAAGAACAACATTAAATTGAAACAAATTGAACATAAAAAGCATTCAAAATAAGGCAAACACCTCGACGATGAGGTAGGTGCCAGGACACAGGACTCAGGACTCAGAACACAGGTCTCGGGATCCTGGAGCCAGGACCCAGAATTCAGGACACAGACGAAGACGAGTTGCTGCCAAGGTAAACACACAACGACACCGAAAACTACCAGAGAAAGTTTCTAGTCGAAAGTTAATTTTTTCTCCGTTGTCCTGATGCACTGGTAAAAAAATATAAAATGTTGTAAAATAATACTGAACAAGGAAATTTAAAAAAAAGATTTTATAGATAGTTCCTACTTAATTTAATATTTTTTCAGTGAATCTTAAAATGTATGGGTATTATTTATATTAAAAACTACAACCCTTTAATATATTTCACTGCACTAGTTATATTAGTACTTCTTATTTTCTATTTCTTTTTTTGTGATTAAGTACTTGTATTAATTTGTAACCCAAACTTTTTCTCCGTGTACTTCTGCTGGAAAATCAGGCAAAGGTACACAGCAGCAAAGGGAAGAGCATAGGAAACGGAAGTATTTTCTGTTGATACTGAACTCAATTTAGACGAAATCAAGTCAAACATGGCAGCTACCAGTGAAGGGAGGAGGATTGGGGTTCGGGGGCAGACTGGTGGCACGGAAAGCGGCCACAGGAAATGTTGTAGTAAATCATGTGGGAGCCGTGAGGTAAGTGGAAGCCGGAGGACTGTGGGCTGTGTGCAGATGCCAAAGAAATGCGAATGCTCAAGACGATGTCCTCCCACACTTTCCCCGAACAGAGGTTGACAAAAATTCAAGCACCCAGGCAAAGAAAAAAAGAAGAGGATACCGAACTCGGGGCTTGATTGATGTTTGTGCTGTTAGTTGTTGTTTGCGAAGGGCGCCAAAGTCGGGGTATTAAAGTTTCGATTAAAGATTCCGATTTCGGGGCGGACAGCAATTTGGCCTGTCAGCCGGCAAAGCGGCCACTAATCAATCCTTGTCCCAATATTTATATGTCCACAAACTAAATGAATCCAGTTCAAAGTGACTTTCACTTTGGATTGAGTAGTAAAAATAGACAAAAAACTACTTTGATTTGGCAAAAGATGCGAATTTTATGAGCCTATTTGTCTTAAGAATTACATAAAGGCTGAACACACAATAAAATTATAAAATTCTACAAAGGGATAAATAAAAAAGAGGCCTTGTAAATTATAAATATTTTTTGTAGACTATTTTCAAGCTATCAATTACCGAAGCAAAAACCAAACACAAATAAAAATTGTGTAAACATGCTGGTTTAAATATATTGCCAACCTTGCTTTTGACTGCAGTATGCATTACATATACCCCGTGAAATTGTTCTGGTTTTGTAAAACAAACAAAAAATGGATAAAAACTGTTCCAGGTTGCCGTTTTTTCTGTTTTTTTTCTTCAGTTTTTTCCATTTTTTTGTTTTGTTCCACTCCGGGGCTCGTTTTAATGGTCTCAGCTCTCGTTTTTCTCGTTTCGAGAAGGAAGGAAGGACTACGGCGAGTCGACTGCAGCCTCAGCCGGATTTAGGGTTAGAGTTAGGGCTCTCAGCATGTGGTGCCAGGACTCGGTGTCCTTGCTGTCCGTCCGCACTTTCACTGCCAGCCGCGCTCTATTTACAGTTTTCG